TTAAGTACCAAGAGTGTCATTTCTGAACTTGTTTAAACTGAGAATTGTCATGTCTCGTAACCCACATGGAATGGGGTAATTATGTTGAATTAAGTTTTCCCGACTCTTCTAAGCAGCCATGGTGCTCATATCTGAACCCAAGGAGATGGAGGGATATTGAGAAATAGTTCACTGCCCCGCTGACAAAGAATGCAGCAGACCTCTGGCGGGACGTCACTCATTCGCCACTACCTTTGTATTGTACTTGAGGCACCTTCTATTCATACTTTCTATATTTTCGGTAACACTATCTTTCCTATCTATATGTAGACGCAAGGATCCACAAATCGTGATATGATAATCCCCTCCCAGCGCCCACGTCCTCTTCTCTGAAAGCTCTAAGTTTGGGATTCCCCTTCTAAATGGTTTATTTGAGTCCTGCAATTAATTGCTGATATTGCTGTAGCTCAAATTGGGCATCATCCTATTACAAAGTAAGTCATTTAAGAAATCAGAGCTGTCGGCCACTCGCCAGTTTACTAGCTGCAGAGGAAATATTCAAGTGAGAGCGAAAAAAATAATAATCGGACAATTAATTCTCTGATTCAAAATTCCGCGGGACAGGTCAAGATCATAACCAACAACAAAATAGCCACTACTGCGTCCAGTAGGATGTTTCATTGATCGTTTTAAAAACTAATAAACGACGAACACACAAAATTGTCATACCTCAGAACACGTGATACTGTCATCGCTGCAGGATCTCTGAGTGGAAGGCACAGAACGAGGCGTGGGGCGTCTCTTGTTGGTTCGTTTGGTTGGATTCTGTAGAGGGTTTTCGTGATCAGAGTAAGTCAAAAAAATCCCCCGAAGAAACGTTAATAATGAAAATACGTAGGTTTTCTCAAAACACAGAACATAACGATATGCCAGACTCCAACGGCCCTTCATATCTTGGACTGAAAACAAGATGGTAAACGTACCCTGTGTGTCTCAGATTTAATGCATTACTGGTGAGAAATGCGTTGAATGCTATTAAAATTTTAACATAATTTTTGGGACAAACTCGGATTCAAGTGTAATAAGTTATTCACCTATCGTAAATGTGACTCTGATCTAGTGTTGAACACTTTAACTAGTCTACTATAAATGCTGTTTTTAGAAAATGGTAATATTTATATCAGCCTGTTTTATCAAATGCACTATCCACCCTTAATTTGCTGAGTTACAGTACGGAATAGCATAAAGCGTCGAACTTTAGTGAGAAATTAGTTCTTTCAAAAAGCACGACTTGTGTCGTGGTTTCGGAAACGGTCAAATTGTATCTCAGAATATTTAAAAAAGCGGCAAATCAGTAGTAATAATCAATGTGCGCGACATTCATTCTTGAACAAAAATTAGTCTACACGAGACAGTGAATGTAACAAGTAACGGCAAAACACAAAAAAGTTCTTTAAAAGAATACGCCAGTATACCCCTTGCAAGCTCAGCACTGGTCTAACCAAGATCTTGAGATGGTCATGTTTGTTTATTCGCCCTGGTTTCCTTTTGGTTTGCCTTCTGCGTTTTGCTGTAGATTTGGGAGCATTTTCGTTGGTGTCAAGCGTGGTGAGTGGTTGCGAGGGGATGGCGATGACGCAACAAGCAGACGGCATCGAGCTATTTCCCGCCACTGTTTCGCATTCGGCACGAGTCGAATCCGGAAGTTGCGTCAGCTCTTCTGTTGAAACGAGGCGTCTCGCGAAGACACGCTCGTGAGATTTGGTAAAGACGCCCCGCTGTGGAACCATGGCACCGCCGCTGACCGTCTGCCGTCTTCTAGCACGTGTGCGGACGAGTCGCTGGGGTCCGTCACGGCTACCTCCGTCAGGCTGGTCCCGTGCCAGTAACTCGCGCTCCAGCTGCGTGACGTTCACTTGGGTGCTAGAGCATCGACGCACGAGGTGACCGACGGAAGTGCCGCTCTCTTGAGAGTGAGGCCTCTTCCTACGCATACCCGGCGTCCGGTACTGCGGTCTGTGCAAAGAGATAGATCTAGTGTCAGGTTGTGCTTTTTATTGCGAGTCAACACGACAGATGTAGCTTGGTGCCGGTCCACTTGACGGTCTACCATGATGCTTCTTTTCTACTTGACGGTTCAACACCGGACAGGTCTGACTATTGTTCTATTTGGCGGTCCAACTACTTGCCTGCTACCTAACCCAACCCTGACCTTAAACCGACGACGGGTTAGGGTCAGTTTCATGGCTAGGGCAATTATGTAGCTGTCAGTAAACTAGTTGGCCGTCAAGTGGATTAGCTTTCAGCACGGTTATGTGGTGACCGTCAAATGGACTGTCACCATTCACAATTTGTCGGGAAGAATGTAAAACTGTAGCAAAAGGAGAAAAAGCAGAAGGAAGATACCAAGGAACCCCAGCCCCCCCCCCCAAACCCCGTTTTTCCCTTCTTCCACCAACCACCAGCATGCAATGAGGTGGTTACTTGATGTAAAGGGAATTGTGTCAACAGATGCCATGCCCCATGACTTAAAACAAACTATCGCCTTCTCACACGAATGTATGTAATTGTACGGGATGGCAATATATGTCCCGTAAAATAAGACCCAGTTGAAATATTTATTGATAGTTGCATCGATGTTTAATAGGATTGAAGTGCAGTAGAATTAAGTAACCACCACCACCACCCCAGTCCCAGGATGATAAAACCCAGCCCAACAACTTACGCTCATTTCTAATTCAGGGGCCAAACTCAATTCATATCCCCAGCCCCAAGATATGTATTAAATGGAGGAGGGGTCTCCGCATCAAACGATGAAACTATGAGAAACTCACAAACATGGTAATGGCAGTTTTTCATTTTGATTGAGTGAACACGAAAAGTTTCTCCCAGATCGGGGGCTGGAGAAATATAGCTGTCCCAGCAATAGTGGGCTCATTTCGTCCGTCTGATGAGATGCCGGTTTCATGACTTGCTGAGGAGCTGCCCATGTAATTCATTCATGCACATGAGTCTCCATGGCGTAGATCTAGAAAAAAATCTAGACGTTTCATCATTTCTTAAATCTTTTTTCTGTCTTTTTATTTATTCATTTTTTATAAAGCTTTCTCTTGTGATAATCTGATGTCAACGATTACGGCGGTCCAGCAAAAGAAAAAAGTTCGTAAAACCTGAAAATCCCTCACATTCGCCCGCCTTCGAAATTATAGGCCTAATGCGTGTAATAGGCCTAGAAATCTATATATAGATTTTATATCTAGATCGGTATACCCCTAGATCTAGATCTTCTAGATCTACAGATTGTTAAATTAAATTCTAAAAAAAATAAATTAAAAAAACTCTACAAAATGCACATTGGCTGAATAGCGAAAGCAGCGCCAGGGTAAATGCCCTCCTTTTCCCAACCTTATCTTCCCTCTGACATTGCCTTTTGCAGATCTACAAAATCTAGATCTAGATTCTAGAATCAAAGTATAACATTTGAAACAGCAGTGAACGAAAAGAGAGACAACATGGAATCACGTATTGAAATGAATGCGGTAGAGGGTTTGCTTTACCCGTTTCCAACGGCAAGAACCTGTCAGGGCGATATTTTGGTGGGCAGCGGGGCGAACTTTCATACTATTGAAGTTCGCTGTCATGTTTTTGAGGTAATGTACGCACGATTTTACTACGTAGACAATATTAAAATATTTTTTTCGCTTTGCCATTTGTTTCGAGAGTACACAAAGCAATAATTGTCGACACCGAATTGTTACAAAATTAATACTTGATCTTGATAAATATAGATCTACATGTATGTGTGTGTTTGTAATGTTTGGTTGTATGTGGTATCCTTGGGGTATATTTAATTATGGCTGTTTGCATCTCCCTGCGGGTGTGTGTGTGTGTGTGTGTGTGTGTGTGTGTATGTGTGTATGTGTATGTGTGTGTGTGTGTGTGTATGTGTGTGTATGTGTATGTGTGTGTGTACGTGTGTGTGTATGTGTGTTTGTGTTTGTGTTTGTGTGTGTGTGTGTGTGTATGTGTGTGTGTGAGTGTGTGTGTTTGAGAGATAAAGAAAAAGTACACGAGATAGAGAGAGAGAGGGGGGGGGGGGGGGGGCGAGCCAGGAAGTATAAATTAACAACAATGAAAATGGTAGACCTGAGCCTTTGGGAACCGGTTGCTTGAGGTAAGAAAAAACCCTCACTATAGGAGGCCTCCAGTGTACATGGTCGGAAGGAAACGCCATTAGCACAGGAAGGGAGGAACGTGTTGACCAAGTCTGTGTGGCGCTATCAGCCCAGGAAACTCCCTACAGTAGCACACCCCATCACACCACCCTCGGTTTGTGGGTGTAATGATGATGTATCTTCCGCGGTAAATATTTACAAAAGAAAACCCACGCTACTGATTTGCCCCCAACACTGAGCATGTGATTAGTTAAAGGTTTCCTCAAACATCAAAGATCCCTAATCTCAGTGGCAGAATTCGCGCCAGCGAAGTCGTTAGTAGGAGACGCTCAAACAGAGCGAAGGGATCGGCCAATGTACCAGAATTTTGCCAAACTAAAACGTTGTTCATCATGCTTTTCACGCACCACCTACGTCTTGCTTATGTGACATTACTGTTTGGTACTTTTGTGAGCACAAATGCTGGTGTCTTTCCCCATTGTAAGTATGTTTTTTATTGAACTATATCTAATTACAGTCCCACGTGTTTTAAGCTGTCTTTTTGTTGGTCAAGAGTAAAACACCCAGCGCCCGATTTAGCTAATCGAAGCTCCGATGCATTGTCACGGAAATTCTCGAAAACCGTACAGGTAGAACTTCCTGAGGAATGCTTTGGACATGGTTATTGAAGTTGGTTTGCTTACAAAGAAAAGAATGCGTATGCGCTGTTTTCTGAGTCCCTCTCTTCCTTTGAAGCAATGAAGGAACTTAGAAAAAATATACCTTTATTTCTCTGTCTGTAACGAGTGCAGTTGTTATGAGTCAACATAGCTTTTTCTTGTTCTCTTGTCGAAGACACAATATCCGGGTGAAGACATTCTCGTGGGTAGCTCTATAAGTACCACACTGAATTTACCATACAGATGTCCTTGTTTCGAGTCCCACCGAGGGGAACATTCTTATGCTTGGATTGTCTGGAGAGCTTCAAAGCACTCTGTTCACCTCCTCCACCCTACCCACCCCCAACCTCCCCCAACCCGAACCCTCCCAATTATGCTCAGAGCTCAGTCCTGTCGGAGATTGGCGTTAAATTCACAGGTTCATCCACTTTTGCATTAATTATAAACTATAGAGGATCTAGGCGCCCACAACTGTATTAAAGTCGAGTCTGTCTGTCTGTCTGTCTGTCTGTCTGTCTGTCTGTCTGTCTGTCTGTCTGTGTATCTGTCTATCTACTTGTTCTTTACAAGGCTGCCTTTCTTTCTCTGTGTATGTGTGAGTGTCCGTGCACTGTTTAAAGGGTGAGAAGGACATACACGCACACCCCCC